GCAGACTGAGATAGATATGAACCGATTGGGATATATATATATATATATATATATATATATATATATATATAGATAGATAGATAGATAGATAGATAGATAGATAGAAATGAACATATATATATATGTGTGTGTGTGTGTGTGTACAGACTGAGATAGATATGAACGGACTGATATATATATATATATATATATATATATAGATAGATAGATAGATAGATAGATAGATGCACAGACTGAGATAGATATGAACATAGATAGATAGATAGATAGATAGATAGATAGATAGATAGATAGATGTCTGAACGAATTTGACATTTTCTGAATTTTGGGGTAATCTTGAAGAACGTTCATGTAATGATGTCAAAATAATTTACAACACTAAAGAAGGGCTAAAATGCCATTAAAGGAATGACCATCTGCGATTTGCCATTTACTATATTATACAATCTGTGACTATATGTTGGGAATGTGACGAGAGGTCCATGGGTTGATGTATCACTCACGAATCTCAGGTAAGCAAGTTTGTGGTCGAAAGCGTGGCTCGGCTTTAAACGCCACATTCGTATGCATTGTATGTATTTGAGAGAGTGAGAGACTGACCGATATTTAGCTAATCGATAAACATTTTCACGTTTCTGAGTGGAAGAGAAAAAACAAATGATAAAAGCCACATTCGTGTTGCGTACTGGTAAACACACTGAATCATTCCATATCAAGTTATGACTATACTCAGAAACAAGAAAACAACCCTCATATATATATATATATATATATATATATATATATGTGTGTGTGTGTGTGTTTGTGTGTGTGTGTGTGTGTGTCTGTGTGTCTCTGTGTGTGTGTGTATCATGAGCGAGAAAAAGAAGACTAAAAGAAATAATTGATACGTAGAGAAAGTGAAAATCGTCACAACCCTCGTTTTGGTTTTTGACCCCACACTTCCAAATACCAAGTCGATCAATAATGCATTAAATATTGCTGTCACATCTCATCTGATGCTTCTGCTTTGTATTTAGATATTCTTGATAAAATCCAAAGAAGAATCTGCAATGTTATCGGTCCTGACCTGACATCTCGGCTTCAGTCACTTACCTACTTTAGTCACGTAGCTTTCCTGTGACTTTTTCTATAAATATTTTCATCGTAATTGTTTTGATCTGCTTTTCTCTTTGATGTGTTATGGTGGCTGTAGTAAGAATGGTAAGCAAGAATGTGTTGCTTTGGTGTATAGGAATACTGTATGCTTGGGTCAATAATCGTGTCTAGCTAAGTTTAAGATAAGACAAATTGAAAAACAGTCCTCCCTACCCCCCGTTTGACCTTGTGCCAACGTTTTATATTATTCAAAATAAATATTGCTTTCCTTATTGCTACCTGGCCTCTATGAATTTAAGCGCAGTACTAGATTGGCAGTTAAGTCTCATCATTTTACAGTCTGAATTGCTAGATTTAACCGTAAGTTCTATGCCAAGAGTTTCTTCTTTCGCACTTCTCGCATGTGGGACACTCTTCCGGCTCCTTGCTTTTCAATCAAATTTAACCTTCAAAAAGTTAAATTAATATCAATCGTTATATTCTGTTTTCCTAATTCCTGATCTTTTGTTCGATCAGGTACAGTAGCGGCCATAATATAAGGAACAGAAACAACAAAGACATAAATATGTGTATTACTTAAAAAGTAATGCATGATTAGCAATGAAATTTTTACCGAATAAAGATTAGGGTGTAATGTATAAATATTATACAAAGTTACAAAAATTTACATCATAGATTTTTTTAAATAAAGATTAAATGGAACAAAGGAAATAATCTAATGGACAAAAGTTAAGGGACGATCTTGTTAATACTTGATTGTGAACAAAATATCAACAAAATTTAATATTTGGTAAACATCCCCTTATTTTCAATGACTTCTCTGAATCGTCGACCACATGATCTAATTAATTTCTTGCAAAAATCAGCAGTAATTCCCTCCGATTCATCTTTCAATAACTCCCATAGGTGCCTGGTTTTTCGGGTTTCTTTTCTGAGTCCTTTCTTCAATTATCTTCCAAACATTTTCTATTGGATTCAGGTCGGGGCTCTGGGCTGGCCACTTCATTAGGGCGATTCCTTCTTCAAATAAATCCATAACCTTCTGAGTCTTGTGGCAAGGTGCATTGTCCTGCATGAAAATAGGAGATTCATAAAGATTATGGTGTAATCTTGGTACCACATGCTGCTGAAGAAGCCTTTTGTAAATCTCAGCATTGATATTGCCATGTATGCGGATGATAGGGCCAATTCCTGCAGATGAAATCATTCCCCACACCATCACACTGCCGCCACCAAACTTAACGGTTTTCTTGACACGTTGAGAAGACAGTTTTTCACCTGTTCTATGGCGTACGTAAGTTTTGCCCTCAGAATCAAATATAGTAAACTTGGACTCATCACTGAAATGAACTGTATCCCATTGTGCGTCAGTCCAAACAAAATGTTCTCTCGCATACTTCAGGCGTGCCATTTGGTTTCGCTTTGAAATGAGAAGCTTCGAAGCTGGAATACGGGCATGCATTCCTGCATTTTTTTAACCTGCGAGCAACCGTTTTCCTTGAGATCTTATTATCTGTCTCTTCATTAAATTTATGGGCAATTGATGTAGCAGTTTCAAAACGGTTTTTTGTAGATATTCTAACAATTCTTCGATCTTCTCTGCGATATTTTTGGAGGTCTGCCGGTTTTTGGTTTTGCATCTAACGTTTTATCGGTTTTATACCTGCTAATTACTTGATGAACGACACTTTTAGACCTATGAACAATATCAGAAATTTCTGAAATTGACTTTTTTTCTTGATAGTTAGCAATAATGAGTTTTTTTTCTTCAAAAGAGAGCGTTTTGCGTGTAGAGTTTGCCATATTGCTTAAAAATAAAGTCCTAATGATAAATGAACTTTTACTTATTGTTGAAAAGCTCCATCGAGTTTTTTAACAATGTAAATTAAAAGTTTATGCAAATTATTAACATCGCTCCTTAACTTTTGTCCAGTAGCTTATTTCCTTTGTTCCATTTAATCTTTATTTTAAAAAAACTATTATGTAAATTTTTATAACTTTGTATAATATTTATGCATAACACCCTACTCTTTATTCCGTAAAAAATTCATTGCTAATCATGCATTACTTTTTAAGTAATACACATATTTATGTCTTTGTTGTTTCCGTTCCTTATATTATGACCTCTACTGTATGTGCCATGCGTGATACAGGCTTAGGCGATTATGTATCTTTTGATACATGACAGACGATGCTGATTTTTTTTCCTGAAATAGGTTGCTATTTCTATCGGCGGTAAACCAGTTGCCATTCAAGGCTCTAGAACCCGGTCTGCCTGCTATTTACCCATAGCTGGAGGGAGGAGATAAGTTTATTAACACGTAAGTGAATGTAATTGATTCGACTGGAATTCGAACTCGGCTCTCCGATTTCTCAATCCGAGCCGCTATCCAGAGTGCCTCCGATCTTTTCCGAGAGCTTAATAATATTTTTCTCATTCTGATATTCTTTCACCAGTAGTAACTGCTTGCGTCTTAGTGACTTTATTACCTTTCTTGGGGTGAAATTATCTATGCTCAAAAGACCATCGCAATTTTCCAAACACGAACAAAAAAAAGACATTACGTGAGAAATGTCCTCCAAAAATATATCGGATAGAAGAGAACACGTTTTGAAATGGGTGATTGACACACACAATGCCCCAAATCGTCCTCCTCTTTGACTCACTACTGTTGGTCGACGCCCACTTTCCAACAGTTGTTTGTCAATAATAGCCGGGGGAAACAAGAAAGACGTTCAACAGAAATAACTTACTGCCATTAATGCAATGGAACCAAAGCGGACAGGTGAATAAAACGAAAACAAAAAGAAAAACAAAACAAAAAAAAAAAAAGAAAAAGAATAGAAAATCTTCTACCAAATTTCTTCCTTTGTGGCATTTTCCTGGGCCGCCATGACTCTGGTCCGTATCTGGCATCTCACGCGACAGCCTAATGGCTTCAGTGCGCATGCGTTTATGTCACGTGAGGATGAAAATTCTGCGCTGCTCGCTAAAACTCAAAGTGGTACGGTTTCGATAGATTGCTCCTGCCCAAATACGTTTATTCTAAGCACCTTTAGGTTGCAAATATCCGTGGAATGTTGCTTCCTGGCCGACTGTCGGTTTTTTTTTTTTTCATTATTTCTTTTCTTTTCATTTTTTCTTGTAAACATCGTGGTTGCTAGTTACATTTTTTTTAAAGTTTTTTTGTTTATAATATATATATATAGACGCATTTATGTAAAGCGTGTGTCTATACACGTCCTATAGGCATTCAAATAGTAAATACTATATTGATTACCACTAAACTTAGTTTACGGCCTCATAACGTGGAAACACCGTTTCTCGTCCGACCACCGAAGTTAAGCAACATAGAAAGGTTTACTGGCCGTAAACAATGTCTGGTCATCAGTAAAAACGATAGTTCCCGTACGTTCACTGAAGTTAACTACATCGAGCCTGGTCATTACCTAGATAATCGGATAGTCGAGTACTCGTACGATAACCGAAGTTAAGCAACGTCGAACTTGGTCAGTACCTAGACGGGTGACCGTTTGGGAATACCAGGTGCTGTAAGCTTGGATGTGCGGCCGGTGTAATGGATAATGGCTCGGAATTTTTAATCGTAGAGTCGAGTACTCGTACGATAACCGAAGTTAAGCAACGTCGAACTTGGTCAGTACCTAGACGGGTGACCGTTTGGGAATACCAGGTGCTGTAAGCTTGGATGTGCGGCCGGTGTAATGGATAATGGCTCGGAATTTTTAATCGTAGAGTCGAGTACTCGTACGATAACCGAAGTTAAGCAACGTCAAACTTGGTCAGTATCTAGACGGGTGACCGCTTGGGAATACCAGGTGCTGTAAGCTTGGATGTGCGGGTAGTGTAATGGATAATGGCTCGAAATTGTTAATCGGAGAGTCGAGTACCCGTACGATAACCGAAGTTAAGCAACGTCGAACTTGGTTAGTACCTAGATGGGTGACCACTTGGGAATACCAGGTGTAGTAAGCTTGAATATGCGGATGGTATAATAGATAATGGCTCGGAAAAGTGAATCGCAGGGCCCAGTTTCATTTCGTTTTAGTCGCCTACGCCCAAATAACTTTGGGAAAGATATGAATCCATCTATTCTTCCCGCAGCTATGGGTTAATTAGTAAGACTTGTATCACTAAGCCATTATTATGTAAAAAGAATTACAATCTAAAAATATATCCTGGCTTTAAATAACTTACAAAGCGTTGATAAGCTGTAAAAAAATGAACCAGTCAATTAATATAAAGATGAAGTGCTTGGTTAGTAACTAGATTGGTTATGCGCTCGGATTTGCGAATCGTTTGATGGATAACGTCTCGAAATGATAAATCGGCGAACCGTGTTCGAATTAGAGTTACATTCACTTGCGTGCTAATCCACATTGGAAAGATATCAAACCATTTCTTCCATCTGTCCCAGTTATGCGTTAAATAACAGGACATACTGTCGTATCCGTCCCTACAAACGCTCATTGTGCCATAGTATTAAGAGAATGACACATGCGTTTCCATGATTTTCTTTCTATGTGCCGTGTCCTTTCAGGGCATAGGCGATCATGGCTCTCCATCTCCCTCTATCCCTTGCAGCTCTCAACAAGTTTCTTCCCTCTGCTACCTCCCCCAGACTACGCTCTGTCATCCACTTGCTTAAGTCAGCCAGGTATGTCACGCGTTTTCTTTTGTCTCTCTCTTTCCCTCTATTCGACCCGTGAGTATCAGATTCTCCAAGCCCTCCTTCCTCATTATGTGTCCCAGAAGCTTCAGCTGCCTCTGCCTCTTTGGTTTAGATTGTAGAAATGCTTTTACAAATTAATACAAAATTGTAAAAGATTTAAACTTTATTAATTATTCTAATTCAATTAAAAAAAAACAATTTCTGTAAAAACCGTTATTTGTCGTAATTTTTTTTTTTTTTACAACAGTGTACATAATATATCGATTTCATGAAGGTAATTAAAAGTTTCTTCTGGTTAAATATTGTAGTATTATTGCACTTTTTATCTTATGATTCAGAGCAGATTTTTGGTAACTGCTTCTTGTTTTCTGAAAAAAAATAATCATTTAAATTCTCCTCGGAGTTTTGCTGATAACGAATATAAATGTAAGCCGTACAAAAAAGAATTTGTGGAAAACAATTGTAAAAACAATGGTTATACAAATATTTTCTCAAAATTAAACATTAAAATAATTTTATTCATTAGTGAATAAAATCTTAACAGTTTTTTTCTTTATCAAAATCCGAAAATTATTTGATTTTTGCAAGAATTTCATGAGTCCCCCATGCTAACCAGCAAGGTTGAAAGGTCATTAGGGTTGCATTCTGTGTCATAACATAGTTGGTCAATGTTGGTGATTGCTGGGCGACCAGGTCGTCTTGTTCCATGACAGTCTAGAACAGTAGATCACGCGCGTGTTTCTGTTTTGCTCACCAGCAATGTCCTGCAATGACAACTATTTATTTTGCTTGTTTTGTTGAAAGACAAATTAAACTAAATGGCGGTAATTATAATATGTATATTTTAGAGACGTAATTGGGAGAAGAAAGTAACAACAGAGAGATGTTGAGTATACCATTGACCGAAAATGTGAGCAATGACAAAGTTCGAGAGACAATAGAATTGAAATTTCTATGACACATAATAAGGAAAGAAGGCTTGGAAAATTTGATACTCATAAGACAGATTGAAGGTAAGAGCGCCAAAGGAAACAATGCACATCCTACCTGGCAAACATGACCGAACGGATGAAGAAATAATATTTGGGAGAGATAGCAAAAAGACAAAAGTTATTAACACCTCCAAATGACTAAAAAGCTTAAACGCTGTACCATGTCAGTCGCCTTTAATGAAACTTGCATATATATATATATATATATATATATATATATATATATATATATATATATAGAGAGAGAGAGAAGAGAGAGAGCCAGAACAAACCAGACAAAAAAGTTTCACCTAAGCGGATCATCAGGAAGGCTGACGATCCGCCTTACCTGACAATCCGCTTAGGTGAAACCTTGGTAGGTTTGTCTGGCTCTCTAGGTTTAACTAGGTCTGCTCTACTTACCGTATTGCGTACTTTCTTTAGTTATTTTGCTTACTCGTATCAGGGTTTTTTTCTTTGGGTTTTGGACTTGCATGCTAGACGATTATTTTCGGCTAGCGTACATGTTCTTGGTTCTTACTTTTTATACCCTTTCTTTTCCTTTGGTATTGGTTTGATTATTCGCGAATCAAGACTGCGAAGGTTTTCCCAACGAGTATAATAATTTGTAATTTCTTCGTTCGGAAAACCTTTTTAAATAATAAAAAAAGTGCTCCATAAATAAGTAATACATCAATGTCTAATAACATGATTTTAAACGACGATTGAATACAGCAATAAGTTTCGTCTAGCGGCGGTTTCCGGTACTATTTCCCCTTATAGAACCCAATATATTATATTAAGGACAATAATATAATATCCGGAATATACTGGCCATCTTAGATACTACATCTTCGGTTAACCAAGGGGAGATAATTACTGCTCTGTTATCTGACAATTTCACCTCTACAGCGCATAAAACTTTTAGTCGTGACCTACCGCTGTATAAACAGCATGTTAAGGAAAATGATATATAATGATAATAGTAATAATAACAGCTTCCTCATAAGGAAATATTTAGTATTATTTGACCGAGCAGCCGATTCTATCGTTTGAAATTTGTAAAATCGTTCTCCTAATAGAATTTAACAACAAAAATAGCTTTCTCAAGTCCAGTGCCATCGCTCATTCTAGTATTGAGGGGCGGTCCTTCCTAACCTTTTGCGTAAGGTAGTGTAGAAAGTAAACATCTTGACATTTTATGGTTTTTGTTATTTGGTATAGATTTTAGTCTGTGAATCTACAGCGCCAGGCTTCAATGTTCGAAAAAGTTTGTTCACCAGTTACAGAGAAAGGAGCACAAACTAATCGGTATTAGGTCAAACAATCAATCTAATAGGCAAGATCTAGATAAAAAGAAACACCAGTTTTTGCTCACTTGCGCATTATGAGAGTTCAAACAAAAGGTGGTATGTCCGAAGTTGTTTAACACATCTAAATATAAATACCAGGAAATAAAAGCTGAAATTCTTTCATATTCATCTTTTCATCTTAAGCCCAAATGTCTTCAGTGAATGACAAAAAAAAACACACACACACACACACACACACACACACACACACAGATAAAGAGAGAGAGAAGGTGCGATTGATAAATTGTCATCTAACTTGCGCAAAAATGTAAATAAACACTGACAACTTATTTTAACAGATATATTTACCAAAATTGCACAAAAATATCTTTAAATACTAAAGAGTAAATTTATTCACTGAAATCGCCATTGACTTTAACCACAGCCTCCAGACGACCACGGAATCTTCTGCATCTCTTCTGGACGGTCTCCTTGTTTAAGTTGGTGAATGCTGCCATAATCCTTGCCTTCAGTTCATCTTTAGTGTCGCAAGGAGTTTTGATTGTCATTCACTCAACTGCGTCCCACACATGATAATCAAGTGTGTTGCAGTCTGGGGAGTTAGGTGACCAGATGTAAGGGGTGATGTGATCACAGAAATTGTTTGACAGCCATGATTGATTTTTCCTGCTTGTGTGGTATGGTGCAGAGTCCTCCTGCCAGACACTGGGTCGTCCAATAGCCGCCCTGTTGACCCAAAGCAGGACTTCCTCCGCAAAGAACTTGATGTAGGCCTCCGAGTTGAGTCAAATGTCCTCACCAACAAACTTGTGACTTCTTTTTTTATCGTAACGATGGAACTGAGTTACCAGACTTCAATAATCACGATTAGACTCATCCAACTCTTTCAGAATCGTCTACACTGCCCTCGGATTGACACCTCAACACTCTGAAATGTTCATGTTGGAGCTTCTGGGCATGAAGACCAAACAGTAGTACAGTATGTCGTTCCCATATTTTTTGGCAGAGTCAGTTGCATCATTGTGCTTAACTTTCCTTTCTCCAACATTTATGGTATTCGTATCAACTTCTGCAGTGTGGAATCGTTCTTCTTCGCAAAAACTCCGGATATCCTAAATCTATTTGAAACTAAGCTTAACTCTTCAATCACTTCCTCTGATATCCTGGCTACGTTCCTCTCCTTAGAAAGGATTCTAATGTCCACATGTATGCATCTGTGTACAATTAATTATATCAAAAATATGTTTATTCATTAGTTGGAAATACAGTAAATTAAAAAATTGTATGCGTACGAATATGTTGCCCGCCCTCCACTGTATGTAATATAATAGATCTATTAAGTATATGTTAGTAAATATACATATTATTCCTAACCGGTAGCACGACTCGGAGTTTTATGAACGTCCCATGAAGATTGCGTTATGCATGAAACTGCATAATATGTGTAGATACTGCATTAGATTGCTTGTTTCCAATTTGCAGTATACCTAATACCATGAGGTGTGTCTTAGCATGTGAGGGGGTTAGAGTTGTTTTTTGTTCCCAAAACAAGCAATCTAATGCAGTATCCACTGATATTAAACATTTGAAATGACAGGAATTATGATTGGAGTTTCTTGGTGCTAATATTTCATGTCAATGAAAAGTACGGTGCAGGATGATTCATCACCGCCACCTTCACACCGCCGACTCAACACCTCCGACTCAACACCTCCGACTCAACAACAACCAACTCATCTTTGTGACAGCACAACTCCAGGACAAGTCACCAGCAGCCTACGCAGGGCCAGGATAACTCAACGACATGCAGTCTATGAAATTATTTCGTCGACCATTTAAAAACAAATAAAAGTAACTTTTTTATTACATGAGTTTACTTTTGATTTGAAAAAAAATTATTGAAATGTATGCAATTCCCCTCTGTTATATTCCGTGTTAAGAGGAATATATACTTGAAAAACAAAGTGGATAAAATAAGTAAATATTTATTGTAAAAAAAAAACTCAAAAAACAGCA